GTTGGATAGCGTTCAACATAACTTACCATACTCCCAGCCAGAATGTTTCATCTCCGCCAAACGCGCCGCATTCATCGCCACCGACTTGCAGAACGTGTCCGGTAGTTCAGTTCCAACGCAATCGGCTAACTCCTCATCAGAGAGTTCTCCAAGCTCCCAATCTCCTTCCCACTCACTGTCTTCTGATCCGAGGCCAGTGCACTCACGTGCACCAGCCGCCATGATGTTAGGATCACCGTCGACTACGCAGGCGACAGGGAGATGCGGGGCAGCTGACGCAGCACCGGTGTCTGTGGTGTCACTTATGGTGCCTTCAGCTTGAGCTTCGCGTTCTGGACTGTCTTGTAGGACGCGGCGGCGTCGTTTCGGGGATCTTTGCGTAACCGGCGCCTGCTTGTTCGTCCGAGGGGGGCGCAAGGTCTCCACAGCGCCTTGAGCATCTCGCACAGGCGTTAGAAGCGCACTTGAAGCCACAGTTGAAGCCACAGCCATCACCACGTCTACTACAACTTCCTCCACCTCTGGTTCCACAGAATCTTCCTCATTTTCTGCAACAGGTATTACCTCTTTAGCTTCGTCCGTACTCGCTGTTGCTTCTGTCTCTTTGGGTGCTGCCGGCTCAATATGTGGACCTCTAGACTCTGCTATCTCCATGGCTGTCGTCGTAAGTTTCACCGCCCTCTTCCTAGACTGCTTCTTCAACGCACGCCCCTCAGCGCCATGCTTTGGCTCTGCTGCTGACTGCCTCTCGTCGTCTCGACGAAGGCGACGCTTGTGGCGGTCACTGAGGGCTGCCTTGCACAACCGGGTCTCTTCCGCTGTCAGCGTCCGTCGTGGCATCTTGCCAGACGTCGCCACCATTCTGGTCTGCTGCCCCCGCGGTCGTTTTGAAGTATGAGAGAGTTTTGTGACTGTCGGCCACCCGTTGGTGGTGGGTGACACCGCCTCTCTTTATCTCGTTCAATCAGGAATCCGGTCCAGCTACCCTAAGCCTGTGCATCCGGCCGTTTTAGGCTCCCACTTTTGTCTTGACTTCAGTATTGAGCTTTCCTGCGCTCTCTTGAGATCTGTTCAATACAAACTCCAAGTCAGTTTTTCTCTTATGTTTAGCCGCTAAACATAACATAGATGCCGAAAAAAACTGAAAGAAGCTATACACCTCTTATGTTTAGCGGCTAAACATACGGGAACTAAGGGGTTAAAACTAAGCGTATGCTCGTGGGTGGTTTCTGTTTTTCTGTTTACCTATAAGCGAGGAATGGACGATGTGGACATCCACAACGGACAGCCAATAATGACAGCGTGTTATACAATACCGTAGGCTGTCGTTAGGCTCCTGCTTTACGTTACATGTATGACCGGCGTCACGTGCCGCATTTCACAAGTCGCCAAACACCAGACAGGCCAGAATCTCGTGAAATTTCCTGACAAAAAAACTCAAAACGACATCTCGATGTATACCGAAACCCATGGATACGGCCAAAACTGCCGTATTTCTGATGATAATGTTGCTATCCGTGGCCAATGCCAAGATGTACGTGTACTTCGACGACCGCCGCAAGCTGTTCAGCTTCGAGCGCATCCAGCGATGTTACACAATATCGAACTGTTGGGACAACCGCAGCAGGAACTCGGCGTGGAATAGCCTACCGGACTCGTCACAGATAGTCTGGTACAAGGACGAGCATTGCCAGAAGTTTTCAATCTCTCAGTCGGGTCCAAAAGGAATCCTCGACTTCAAGAACACAAAGCTCTACAACACCGTGTCGTCCTTCATGGCGATAGAGTACAGTATGTACCCGTTACAAGGCATGATGGAGAAATGTCACGAGAGCGCTGTGCTGAACGGTAGCGTCTTCGAGTTTGTAGAGGACACGAAAGGCAACAAGCACTAATAACCGCCACAATAAAACGTTGTTAAAGACAATGTAGCCATCTTTTCTCTGTGATGGTCTCGTTGAGAAGGTCCTGAATGGATCAACGTGTGCCAGCAATAGAAAAAATTTGGACCCATTTCCGTCGTGGCATAACATCCGCATCAAAGAGAGCGGCAACTCGCCCGCCTGTTGCCAAATGCCATTTTGCCGCCATCAGTTTGGTGTTGCAAATCGAGTATCTCACGCCTGCTGGTGTAAGCTTACCTGAACTTTTCCGGAAGGGGTTTTTGGTCAATAGAAACAGCTGCTCATCACCCCTCCAAGCGATAAACAATCGCACTTCCAGCAGCGTCCATCAAAGGCCAATAGACCAAGCGACTTCCTGTGCAGCATGACGAGCGGCTTACGGCGGCTGGCGGACGCTTCGGCGTCCGGGTCCTCCGCTGCAGCATCGTCTTCCTCGTCGGACTTCCCCTACGCAATCGTGATCGGTGCAGCTGTGGGGTTTCTTGCCATAATCCTCATCGTGGTGGGGCTCTTCTTCTACTGCAAAGAGCGCAAACGCAACAAGGAGTTGGCACTCGAGCCGTACGTCAACCTAGCGCCTAATCCGCCTGCAAGTCAGCTATCCCCGGGCATCGCTACGGCCGCTAACCAGCACTCCGACCGCAACCCGACGAAACTGCAGCTCTCTGCGTCGATGGATGCCCACGCAGGCTTCTACGTCATGACGTCGCCTGTGAACTCCAGTTCTTTGCCTCCCGCAGTGCTTAAACCCACGGGAAGCCACGGATCATCCAGTATGGACCATTTCTTCCTAGCTAGCGACCCGTCAATGCAAAAGTCGAGCTTTGAACGGAGTTACGAGGACACGCAAGACCTCGACTCGTTTGATACATCGGCACGAAGCAGAATTAACTCGTTTGAGGCGCATGAAAGCTTCAGACGTGCTATGGGGTACAGTGACAGCACGAGTAGCAGTGCTCGCACTGCAAACAGCAACAGCAACAACAACGATTCGGCGTGGCCGAGCTCTGGCCGTGGGGGGCTATGGGACGACCCTGCCATTGTAGCAGCGCGTATTCCGATGGATAGAATAACCCCAGGCGACGTTATCAGCCGCGGGGGATTCGGTGAAGTGCTCAGAGGTACATACAAAGAGCGGGATGTAGCCATTAAGAGGCTATTGCCCGAATCGAGGAAAGATTTGGCCAAGATCGAAGAGTTCCTGGCCGAAGTCAAGCTGCAGGCGGCGTTAGAACACGAACGGATAGTCCGATTCGTGGGTGTGGCCTGGGACTCCCTTACAGACTTGTGCGTCGTGTCCGAGTTCATGGACGGGGGTGATCTGCGTGCTCTGTTGATCAAGTTTGACGAATTGGACCGTCGCCCAATGGGTTTTGACGCTGAAAAGGCCCGAATCGCACTGGATGTGGCACATGCACTCACATATTTGCACTGTTTAGACCCCATGGTTTTGCATCGCGATCTCAAGTCCAAGAACATTTTATTAGACAAAAGTTGGCGCGCCAAACTCACGGACTTTGGCGTGTCGCGAGAACGCAGCGACCGCACGATGACTGCAGGCGTGGGGACGTCTCTGTGGATGGCGCCCGAGGTCATGATGGGCGAGCGATACGACGAGAAGGCCGACTTGTTCTCCTTTGGCGTCGTTCTCAGTGAACTGGATTCTCACAAACTTCCCTATGCAAGTGCAAAGGTCACTGAAACGGGGCGTGTTATCCCGGACACAGCAATTTTGCAACTTGTGTCCTGTGGGAGACTCCGTGTGGAATTCACTCCTCCAGCTTCTCCAGCACTGGAAGCAATGGTGCATCTAGGCAAGGCCTGTGTGGATTTCGAGCCCGATGCACGACCTACCGCCTCGCAAGCGCTGTACCAGATGCAGCTCGTTATGCGCGCGTTTGCGCAGGAAGAAACCGAAGAGTCTTATGTCTTCTGAGGAGGTCACTTTCATCGTGTAGTATTTCACAATATTTCGATACCGTAGCTAAAAATCTTGTAATTATCCCTTTCATATACTTTGAGAATTCCTACAATTTTGCAGTACGCGTTGATGGCGTCATCTTTTTCCACACAGCTACATGCTTCCATGTTTTTCCAGCTTCCTTTTCACGCCGCACTGCCAGCTCTGCAGCTCTGCAGTCCCTGGAGCACCTCGCGCGCCGTAGGACGTTGCATTGGGTTCTGACGCATACAAGCGAGCGCGACCTCTCGAACTTCTGTGGGGCAGTTCGCAGCAAAATGAGGTCGTAGCTCTCCACTGGCCACGAGGTTCAACACCTGAAAGGCGCGCAGCTTTTCCCCCGATCTAGAGTCTCGCGCACTATAGTACGGTCGCTTGGCTTCCGAGTCGATCTCGGCTAGTAACACTCCGAACGCATAAATATCAGTGGCTGGTGTGGGAGATCCCCCTGTTAGCAGCTCTGGGGCTGTCCAGAACGCGTTGCCAATTCCTGCGGCCATGTCTTTCTGGTCCACAGGCGGAGAACCCTCTGCAGCTGGCGTCAAGTCGATGAGTTTTGCCTCAAAGTGGTCGCTCATTGCCACTTTTTTCGCTCTTAGCACGCGATATACTATCGGTTGAGGGTGGCGTGTATGTAGATACAAAAGTGCTCGTGCAATCCCAATGGCTATCGGCAATTTGTCAGCCCAGCTCGTGAGCATAAATCCTGACCCTGAGCTTTGCAGTGACGGAGGCCCCGTCATTGCTGTTTGGTTTGTTGTTGCAGACGACGAAGATCCGCCTGAGACATCGGATAGCGATGACGATGATAATTGCTGGTTCACTTGCAGTCGGCGATGACGATTTCTACGCAAAAAGGACGCCAAATCTCCTTTTGCAAAATATTCGGCCACAAGGCACAGCGAACGCAAATTTTTCCCCCATGCAACTCCCAGAAATTTGGCAATATTTGGATGTTCCAAAGACGCTGTGAGTCGGATCTCGTGTACGAAATTCATCACAGCGGGGAACACGTCGTCGTTGTCGGGCGGGTTGAGTCTCTTGACGACGATCTCCTCGCCCTCAAACTGGCAGAGCCACAATTGCCTCGTTGCGCTCTCCGCTAACACTCGCTCAAAGGCGATTTTATCCACTGCAAGTCGCTGCGTGGCGAGCTGTGCGTCGTGATGCAAGACGTGGAAGATCTCGTCTGTCTGGGACGTCGTTAGCGCGTAGTCGGCGACGCTTGAAGCAGTTAAACTCCTGCTGCTACTGCCACTCTTGGCCGAATTGATAGTGCGTCCACTGCCACTGAGCCACACGTTCTTGCTAACCTTTTCGTCTTTAAAGGACGAGAAGGAGGCCATGGGGTCCATGGGGGACACCACGGCCAATACGTTGATTGAATCATCTTGATGATGACGAGTTTCGACGATTGGAGGTGAAGTGAGATCCTCAAAGTCTCCGGAGCTTTTGCGTTGGCTGTGGCGGGTACGACGAGATCGATAGAGTAACCATAGAAGAAGACCAAGAACGAGGAGCCCACCGAGGATGATTGGGATCAGATACAGGAGATTGAAGCCATTTGAGTCGTCTTCTTGCCGCTGAAGACGACGCAGTACCCCCATTATCGTAGTGCCGTATGTGCCGGTGCGACGCCTATTAATACGATGGGAGACCGGCGGCATGCACGGCGGGGACAATGACGATATATTTCGAAGCCAGCTTGTAGGTATGGACGGCAGAGCCGTCAAGACGAAATGCTCTTCAAATGGGTGATTAGTGGGTAGAAGTGAGCGGAGATTCTGAATTCGCACCGATTTTCAAAGTTTAAATAATCGACGTGCTGTTATGATGTAAAACGTATTTTGACCCTTCTTCGCACATTTACGTGAGTGCAGCTATAATCTTGACGCCTTTTCGCCGTGTCAAAGCTGGTGGGTTCAGTATCTTGTTGCCAAAAACTCACTACGCACAGGATTTTCCACAGCATTCTTGCTGTTGAGAGTTTCGAGTGAAAAATGCAGTGGTTTTTGGGCCTGCTAACAGACCACGTCGTCACAATTGTAGTCGGCTATCACGATCGGGACGACACGAAATAAACACTTCAAAAGCTGGAAACAGGCGGGCTTCAAGTACATTTTGCTTACATTTTTGATACCGTCACTTGGCGACTTACTGCCTCTTTTGTATGACACGTTGAAGTTGTTGCGATAGTATCTACTTTTATGAGGTTTGACACAGCTGGCAAAGCCACGAGACCCCGCAACATTGACATTTCACGTTCAAGATATTGCTCCGCTACGCTGTCGTCGGTCCTTGCTTGCTCAGCGTAAGACTAAGCTTGGGGTCTGGCGTCTGCAGTAGCTTGTGCAGCTCAGCCGATACCTGTGCGGCCGAGGGGCGTTCGAAAGCATCCAGTGCCACGCAAGCTTTGCCCAGTCTTACGATTGCCGCTGTGATGCGAGTATCCACTTCGGAGGGCGACGAAGACCCTCGTCGTCCGTGTCTGGCTCTCCCCGAGCTAGTGAAATGCACACGGACATGTCCAGCTGCGACTTTCTCCAGTAATTCGGCACTATCGCCTTGTTCACCAAATCGACTACTGTAGCCATAGGGTGCTGCTAACGAGTCGAGTTCGCATAAAATCACTCCAAAAGAGAACACGTCGGTTTTCGCGTTGCTGCGTTCCCCACGAAGAGCTTCCGGGGCGCTCCATAGAGCGTCAACGCGCGTGCGTTCTCGTCGTAACCTGTCTGCCACTCCGATCGGTACGGACGTTGTTAAAAGCCTTGGAGGTACTGATATAAGTGAACTTTCGTGGCTCATTCTCCTGCGATCCATTGCCGATTGAACGCTGCTCCCTTGGAAACCTGATAGTTTTGCATTCAGATTTTCATCCAATAGGACATTCCGAGACCGAATGGCTCCGTGCACGAGCCCTTGCGAGTGCAGGAAGCTTAGTGCACTCACTACTTGTGTTGCTATGGAGATTTTCTGACGGTTAAATCCTCGTCGACTGAATTCATCGCGTACAAGAGCATGGTGGTGTTGTCGTCGACTTAATAAGGAGCGGAGGTCTCCACCAGCCATTAATTCAGATACCAAACACACATACGCGAGCGATCTCCACGATACCCCAAGAAACGACACTACGTTAGGATGCGTCAATGACGGAGAAGAAAGCACTTTTACGTTGGCGAAAAAAGCGTCGAGGTTGTTGCGATCCGCCAGCCAGTGTGGCAGTGGCTTCTTAATAGCCACCACTCGATCTCTATACTGACCGCGATACACTTCGCTGTTGGTACCACGCGCTACGAGTTCATCGAGGGAAATCTCGCTCACAGAAACGCGAACGGCTATTACTTGTGGGTGGTGCCAGGTCTCGTTAGCTTCCTCTAGAGTGGACTGTTCTTGTAGAAAGCAGGAGACACGCGAGCCAAAAGAAATAGATGACGACATGAACGAGTTGCTGTCGAGCACGTACAGCTCGTCGGCTGCAGGGGAGCGTCTTGAGGACGCGTCCAAAGTACCTGGAGACGGCTCGGGTACGGCGTTTTTATCCATCCGACGGCGTCGTTTGTGGCCAACGAAAAGGATACAGAACAGGACCACGATCATAAGGCCACCACCGACAGCAAGACCAAGCTCATCGTCACTTAGAGAAGAGCCGTCGGACGAAGAAGACGTCGGTGTAGGACCCTGAACGATGCGATCCGGCTCGGAAGTCACCGTCGCATTTCCAGCGTCGGAAGAATGATCAGACTCTTGTCGAAACACAACGAAGCTCGCTGTATGTACACGCTTGAACGTGTATGGCATCCTCTATTGCGCTCGAGTTGAAGCTGCTGTAGTGCCGGGCGGTTAACGAGAAGCTGCAGGGCGTTCTCTCGCCTCACCGCAACGTCAACTAGCCAACACTCTGCTGTGTACCAGCCTGCCGGTTGGTTAGTGTATCGCACGCACGTTTGGAGTCTTTTTTGGCTTGCGACGAGGTGGCCCTCGCCTCGCTTTCAGCCGCCGCCTCCCGAGTCACAGCAGTGCGGAAGCCTCGCCCGGCAACTGCCATTGCTGAACGCCCCCCAGGACTCTCCTGTCCCCAAGCATCAGCGACGCAGGCTCGACGCTTGGCTTGCAGTCGTTACGCCACTTTCCACGAAGCAACTGCCCCACGACAAGAAACAGCAGCGCCTGTTGAGCAAAATGCGGAGCCAAGATCTTTTTTGTACTCGTGTGGCGATACGTATCCTCACAGCACTTGGATTCAAAAGTCAACTTCGATGCACAATGTCGAAGTTGCTGACGTCGAGTGATTGCATTAATCAATGATGTAGCCATTTCCACGTTTAAAGCAACTTTAATTGCACCATGAAACATGAAAAAAACGACTAATTTTCAGTTATTGGATATTCCCTTGATTGCAACAATATTACAGTGTGTGTGGGATCTTGGACCGGAGCAAGTAGACGATCTGCATAGCAGGTGGGCGTTTGTTCGGGTCCTGATCGAGACATTGCGCTGCCAGGTCGCGCAGTGCTCGCGGGCAGTCTGGCCGGAACGGAGGGGACGCACGTCCGCTTGCAATGAGCGGCACCCAGTCCATGTCGTTCTTTCCCTTGTTCTTCCGGCCCTGACTGTAGGCATATGGTGGCAGACAAGTGTCCAGCTCGGCCAGAACGACACCGAAAGAATAGATATCAGCCTTCTCAGAGTACCTCTCGCCGCGTAGCACCTCGGGAGCTGTCCAAAGTAAAGTGCCCACCCCACTGGTCATGGTTTCGTCGAAGCTTGTCTCACGACTCAGTCCGAAATCGCTCACCTTGGCTTGGAGATCTTCCGTCAAGAGCACGTTGAGTGACTTTAGATCGCGGTGCAACACGACGGGGGACAGCGAGTGCAAATACACGAGCGCGTTGGAAATATCCGCCGCAATTGGCAATTTGTCATCTTTCCAGGTGAGATATTTGCTTTCCGGCTGCGCCAGGAAGTGCGCAAGGTCGCCAAGTGCAACATACTCGGAAACCATGCACAAATCCGGCAAAGTGCGCCACGAGAGGCCCACGAAGCGGACAACGTTCGGGTGGTCCAGGAACGCAGCCATGTGGATCTCCTTGGTGAAGTCCACAAGCGCCTTGAGCTCCTTGTCGCCAAGAAGAGCAGACGCATTCATCGCCGATGAGCGACTGGTGTTCGCAGCGGCAAAGCCTGCAACAGCTGCCGCAACCGTGCACTTGATAGCGACTTGCTGTCCTTCGTATTCGCCTCGCCAAACTTCACCGTTCGGCCCACTTGTCATCTTTTCACAGTAGATAATACCCGCAAAGGCAATTCGTTTCAGCATGAGTTCCTGGTCGTCGCAAAAAGTTGCCAGTTCCGGTGATCGCATCCGGAAACTTTCGTTGATTGCCTCAATTTGCATGGCATTGTCAAATGACGGGTGCGGTCCATTGTTGGACACATACTGTCCAGAGACATGTCCGCCCTGTTGCGGCTGGTCGCGGAATGAATGTGCCTGCATGAAAAAGGTGTTGTTCTCATTTTCCGTGAGTCCGTCTTTGTTGGAATAGCTCCTGGAGTGACGCCACATGACGAAAAATACGAAAGCGGCAACAATAAAAATTCCCAGCAACACACCCAGAACAATTGCAACTGTCGAGGAAACCTTGGACGACTCCGAGTCATCGCCACCAGACTCAGTAGCCGCGTTCAGTTCATTGACCCAGAGCTTAACGCCAAGTTCGATCTCCGGCTCGCACCACGTGCGTTCCTGTACATTGACATCCACTTCGGAAGCGGCCACCTCTCTGCATGGGGTGATGAACTGAGCGCCGTTGGGGCACGTGTCATCGCTCATAGTCCACGAGCCCTTTTGCGCCAGCAGATAAAGCGCCGTGCTGTCATTGGCGGAGCTGTCCTCAAACTGGAAAATCTGCGGGTCAAAGTTCTCGTCGAGCTGTCCATCCGTGGACCACAACGGCCCCGTCTTGGTCTTGAGCGTCCCGAAACTCGATCCCGCGGAGCTCATACTCAGTGCACACAGTGTTTTGGATTCGACGTAGCTCGGCTCACACGCCGATTCCGTGAAAGTGATGACGTTGCTCTTACATTTCTTAAGCGGACATCTTAAGGCATCATCGAACGCCTCAGCGGATTGAAACACGTCGCTCATGGTGCGTCCGCAGAGCACGTAGACCTGCACATAGTTGGCCGAGGAGTCGTTCGTTGAGTCGGGATTGGCCTGCACCAAGCCGGCACTCCAGAGCATGGCACGTTGGACATTGCTCTTGAACGAGGTAAAGTTTGCAACACTGACACCAAGCTTCGTAAGCGCCTTGTTGAGGCTGGTGGGCGCAATGGGCTCAGAGATGGCAGCGTTGTCAAACAGCTGCGCGGCGATATCCGTTCGCGCCTGGACAGAGACCAAGAGGGTTGCGAGCACTAGAGATAACACATTTAGCATCGACATGATGCCACCAGTGGCCTGAGGGGCCAAGAGCAGCGCAGCCAGCTAATGGCGGAGTGGGACCAGAGTCCTTTCCGCCTAGGAGCTGAACACTTAACGCTAACGGTCGAGTTGGGTACGGGTTGGTGGCATAAGACTGGACGAAAAGCGGCATGTTTGGATGAAAAAGTCCATACTTTGATCAAGTGCCACTTTACTTCTCCAAACAATGGGTACACGTACATACTTGAAGTACATGTACAACTTACGTTGCGAGTCGCGAGAAGTCTTGGTTTGCTGTGAGGCACACAAGAGCAGTGGAGGTCGGTGCCTCAGGCATTCGTGTACAGTATTGCGAAGTAGACATTGCGGAAAAACGGTATAACTCGCAACTGACGGAAAAATATCACTTAAAACTGATCTCGGTCATGTGAAGCTCACATTGTGAGCCCATTTGTTCACGCTGCGTGAAAAGTCACATCATCGTTCGGTCAGCAATTCTTCCAGATACGGGGGTACTCAGTTCTCCCACCAGTGATACAAGCTGCTGAGGTCTCTTGTACATGTACATACTACAAGGGACTTCATGCTGAACACTGTTCAGTGAACAGGTGCCAACGCTGCAAAATCCAAGCCAATGCTTAGCAAAAAGTTATTTTTATCGTCATTGGAAGAGCTCCCCAATGCAGTTTCAATGTTCAATACGAACATCAATACCTCTTGTTCGTGGGGTCGTGAAGCATCTATTACTTTAAAAAATATTATGAAGACTCGCCTACTGAGTTTTAATGACTAAACTCGGAAGTAAGAATAATGGTAGCCCTAAAGGTGTTGGTGCTGCTGATACAATTGGTCTGGTCAATCGAATCGCACTCGCTGTCGATATATGAGGGCGATAAGACAATAACGGCTAGCATCCTATGAAGAAACACCCCGACGAGTCCTCGACTAAAGATACTTTGAAACAAAACATAAACTCCACAATCAGCAAACGGAAAGACGCGCATCAGCACTTTCTGCACCAAATAAAATGTATTCGAAGTCGTTGGTCTGCTTACACTGATCCTTATATCAGCCACACGAGATCCTCAATCTTTACTTCTCTCCTCTCTCGTTTAGCCTAAGCCTGCTCCCGAGAGATTAATTCATCTTGGAAGGCGGTGCACGCGGGTCGCGGCCCGAGGCGGGAGCGTGCTCGTCTTTGCGGTTCGACATCATGTACAACAACACTGCACCCACACCGGCAGCAACCATCAAAGGAGTGCTAGCAACATCGTCGTTAGTTTAAAGGGGCACACCAACACCTTCCTTCACAAATTTTCTTACGCCGACTTGTTACGCTTGACGTTGTTCTTGACTTCGTTGGCAACTTTGCTGGGGTTATCGAACGGGATCGCCATTGTTGGTTTGGCTTGTTCACTTGGAGGTTAATTCAAGAATGAGTTGCCATTTCACCTGTCAGGGCTTGCAACGTGGGACCCAGGCGTTGAAGAAGTTTTATCTAGCTGAGACCCGGCACCCAACAGCCACTATTTATTAACGGTTGGGTGTCACAACTGGTGGAGAAGCTTAAAGAACTGAGAATTAGGATGCCAGCGACCATATCGAGTGTTTATTTTAGTCGTCGCGCTTATTCTTCTTGCTCGGTTTCTGCGGGTGCACGCGTATAATGGCCTCGTTCCACTCGGTCGCGTCCTTCTCCGAAAACTGACGCTCCTTCATTTGATCGTACTTGTACCACGCCGCGAACAGACCAATAGCCGCCACCCACGACGCGATGCTGCAGCCACAAATACCGAATTAGTAAGACTCGCCCTTATTTTGAACGCTCACACGCGGACGCACCGGACGTTGCGCGGGTTCCTCTCGAACAACTTCGCCATCACCTCGATTGTGTGGACCGCTGAGTGTGATGCTCGCAAAAACACGCAATTTGTCAATGTTTGGGCAAACCCTACTCCTGACAAGGACCTATTTTCAGTGTCCGCGAAATAAAGTGTTTTATTGGAACATCTACCGGTTTTGCAAAGCGAAAGCACTATCACTACCGGTGCCCTAATTAGTCGTACCCTGACAACCGGTAATTGTGGTGTTAAAGTCGAAGGAGTCACAATCAAAATCTTGTCGATATTCTTCTTCATATGCTGCATGTGCAGTGGCAAGCAAATTGAGTAAACGAGCACAAGGCCAAAACCTTTCGTCACCTTCTCCAAAGCATGTTCTGCGTCGGCAGACATGTATTGAACCGCATAGTGGGGAAGGAAACCAGAAGTGCCCTCGTTTGTGCCGAAATAATGGCGATATTTTACTCCCCCGCCTCGATAATTTGCCAAGTCGCCTCCTTCATGAGTGCTGAGAAGTTGGACGGTCCAGCTTGGACCGCCAAAGTCGCCACCATTCCATCCTCCTTGTCTGTGTCTTGATGCTTGAGGAAGTGGTCGTCTTCCCCGTTTATCAGCAGCTTGTGAAGAGTACATTGCATCGGGATTGAGGTGTACTCAAATAGGTCGAATTGAGGATGCAAAGGTGAGAGAGCAGCTGAGGCCCTTAATAGTAATAGCAACCATCGTTTGGGAATTTCAAACTGTCCATTTTGTGTATATTACCGATCCAAATTTTCAAACCTACAGCAAAAAGTGTAAATAGTGCGACATGGTATTTGCGCTTGGAGGACTAAAGGAAAGTAAAGCCGATATCCGGTAAAATGAGAAGTGTTTATTTGTTTGATTGGGTTTTGCTCCTAAGTTAATATTCCAAATGAAAGGTATTTATCAACGAATAGTTGACAGCATCCTATTATTCTATGTAGTTGGTTAAAGATATTAGCTTTCAACCAAATTGAATACATGAAGATTAACAGTCTACCAAATGTAGCCATTGTTGTATCCTGGTAAACCTTCTTTCGTAGACCAAGTAACTTCTTTCGTAACCAAGTAACTATGTGTAGCCACTTGTGTGTAGCCCTGTTACAGGTCTACCAGCTTTAAAACTATGAGAAGCAACTCAAACACTTTCCGCAGAGGCACAGCCAAGCACAGCCCACCAAGCGTAACCTTGCTGCGTTGGTAACGAAGGCTTAGAAGGTCGCAGTGACGATGTCAACCTGCCTCACGGCATTTCGAAGAACAGGGGTCATGCTGCTGGGCTTGGACCCGATGCTACCGCGCATTGTGGGGAACCAACCCGTGGTGACCGCTTCCCTCATGCCAACTACTTCGTAGTTTGGCCAATCCAACTTCAAGACAAGAGCGTCAACTTTAAAGGGGGGGGGGTATTGACGACAACGCACCGAAGGCTACGTTTTTGGGGATGGAAATGATTTCCATGTTGGCGCTGAAGTCCCAATCTCCAAACCAAACACGGTCTTTTGTTGATGGCGGTATTCTTATGACACGACCGGAAATGAAAACTGCAGTACTTGAAGCTGAGGTACAGCGCCGTCAAAGGCTCGATGAGCGTTTTGCTAAAGCTCAGGAACGACTTGAGAAAAAATGCGGCAACAAGCGGCTATACTGAAGCAGCTTGAGAAGGAGAGGAAACAACAAGAAAAAGCAAACAGGTCATCGACAAAGATCTCAGCTTCAACCAGGCTTGGATCGCGGAAAGGGGTTAAGAACAAAGGCTTAAAATATAGAAGCGCTATCGATTCTGCACTCATATTTGGCTCAGGACTACACGATGCATGTCGCTCTGTATTAGGTGAAGAAATGCATTGTCGAGTCCTTCCTGCGTTCACAGGTCTCTAAAACACCGCTTAGGTGCTCATTTTGCTTATTATAACGGGCGACATGCACACCTCTCCGTGATTTACATGTGGACTTTGTAAACTATCACATGCTAATAACATACGCTTCGCTTTATGACCGCTTTTTCGGGACTTGTCCCGCCGGCAATGCACCCTCATTTTGAAAGAAAGTTTTAGCTTAAATCTACACTTGTCAAAGCACAGCAAAGAACCCATTCATAGTGTACAATCTCGTCTTTCCAACAAGGCATCATTCGTGATCAGGAAGATCGTATTTATTTAGCTACGATCTTTTTCAAACGTCATCTTTAGTCGTTCCGTTGCATGTCCCTGGGGGATATCTTTAATTCCACGAAGTTACAGTAAATGTTTACTGCAACTTTGGGCATTGCTGTGGGGTCACTCTATATAAGCGATGCATGCACATATCTCAAGTTCTTACTTCGAACACTGGCTAAGAGTGAGCTGGCGCAGGTGATCCTTATTCAGCTACCAAATCAAGGTACATACCTAGCGCAATTACACGTACATATAAAAAATGTGGAACAAAGCTGACCGTCCTGTTAGCCACCACTAGTGGCCTACCAGATGCGAAAAAAAGAACTTTCTCGCTAGTGTGGTGACAGAGTGCTACAACTACGCACCTACACAATATCACAACAAAACATAAATGCACCGGCATTTTTGAAAATATCGCGATTCGTCAACTAGACGAGACAAATTCAACAAGAAATATAAATAATCGGTCCTCGCCGCCTTAGCCACGACCACTATCACATCCTTTTCTCCGCCTGTAGTGCCCACGTAGTAACGAAACAGCAGCATCTAATGAACAGCAACTGCTGCAGATCCAAATGTCGAACATGCACAGAACTGGTTTGTGGTGGTTCTTGTCCGTGTTTGCGACGATTGCCTTGTGATACGGCCACAACAAAATTCTATATCAATGCGACACAACGTTTATCTATAGTTCCCTGGTCTTGTGGAAATTCCCGTGTGTTCGAGGCAAAGTCTCTTACTTATCGCTGGTTGAAGGTCTGACCGATTCGTGACCAGGATGTAGGTAGTATCGACTTTTGGCGTGCGAGACGAAGGAAATGTCCGTTCAAATTTTAACACTTTAGGTAATAAATTTGATAGAAGTGCCTTCGTGTACAATCTTCTCAGTGGTAGTAAAACCGGTGACTACCAACGCCACTGCCATTTCCGGTACCTCTGATTTTCAACACGATTATTTTGCTGAGCTTCAAACAATGTGTTTGTACGTATGCAAGGAGTCAGACAAACCGGTATTGATGTAATATCAAGTATTTTAGTACGCACTATTAATAATACACACCAATTTATTGTTAGCTAACACGGCATCGCAAAATAAAGGTGCATAAACTCCTTTATAAAGACGATGAAATTATTGTAAAATTACTTAGGGCTGAAAAACACGATTTCGCTAGCACTTGCTATTTCATTTAATCTGCCTAATCTTAGCAGCTCGGGGCATTTGAGATTTTCTAAAACTTGGGTATAAAACCTCAAAACCTCAAGAATCAGGATAACCTCGCTGAAATAGCTATTTGGGAGCAAGCCTTAAACACATGCAAAACGATAACTAGAGACTTAAAAAAGTGCTTAAATATTAATACATATTAAGTTTTAAAACCCACGGCAGCTTGGTACGTAGCTTGCAGCGTATTGTTCTCTAAAACCTCCACAATAGGACTGAGCCACGCCAGCTGTACCAGTAAACTACCCGCTGGGGAGACACGTAGATTATATTTTTTTAAAAAAAAAATTACGCCAATTCTAATAGAGGCGTTGCTTTGAAGAAAAGGTGAAAAATTACAACAGCAATAAATATTAATGAATTTGAAAAAAAAACAGATTTATTTAGTATTACTATGGGACAGACAAGCAAAAAACCGAATGACCCAAAGTGCAGCCGAGAGACACGACGGCTGCTTCACGCGTATCGAGAAAAGAAGCCACGAGCTGTTGCAGCATGTACAGCCAAGACACTTCAACAATGAGCTGCTTCCTTACTAGCAACACTTACGCAGCATATATGTACGATAAATATTTTTCCTGGTAGTGCTACGTGTAATAGTAAGTACAGCCCTTTAGGGATTAATTCGAGATTGTGTGCATACACCAATAGTAGGTATCGATCCGATACAATTTTCACATGAGCAGGTCTTATTTTCCTACTAATCTGTATAAAACTCACAGGTTTCACTCCGGTGAAAGGGTTTAACATGGATATAATATTATACAAACTTGGTGTACTAAACAAAAGAGAATACATTCTTGGAGACCGCTCCCCTTCTTTGCATTGTACGTAGACAACCAGTGGGTGTCGTGCTACATGTAACCATAATACAATGATATAGACTTGGGATTTACAGATGACAACGAAGGTATTAAACAATGCTAATGGCTGCTGGATCCGCTGCATCTGAAACCAAATAGCTTTCCAGCTCGCAGCCACAACGCCCGCTGGGCGATTGACTCTCGTCGGAGAAGCTTTTGACGTTTCCTAGAGATTGTCGGGCTTTATTACCGGTACAGTCGGGGTACTCCTTTATATATTCTTAGCAATGTATTATGACAGATAACAATGGCGCGGAGCTCTAATCGATACGCCGTGCGTCTTCCGCTTGCAGATGAGACCAGTACAAAGGCATTATACCGTTAAGACTGTCAAATTTGATACTGATTTGCTAATGTCTACCAGATGTCCGACAAATTCCGACTAAGAATCATTCTTCGATAACATCCCGACAAGAGGAAATGCTGGTGCGTCGTTCGCCTTCTTTGTATTGATCACACCGAACGGAAGTATTGTGTTGTGGGTGCAGAGATCTGATGTGACACTGAACTAATAGCACTAAGTGCTATAGGAAATATAGGTAACTAGGACTGTAAGGGCATATTGGCTGGCCGTGACACTATCTGACAGACTTCCACGGATTGAGCGACTCGACACTGGATCAAGCAGCTTCGTATTATTACCGAAGTACGTTAATTATAAAAACGATAGAAATGGGGCGACAGATTGCAAGTACCGTTAGTAGCTAGACATTCTGAATAGGACGACCGCATGAACTTGTTAGATTCCCAACCGAAGAGCAGATGTCATGCTAG